GACCCCCCCAGCACCCCCCGAGGGGATTTGGGGGTCCCTGGGGAATTTTGGGGGGTCCCGGGGGGATTTGAGGTGGATTTGGGGTGAATTTGGGGGATTTTGGGAAGATTTGGGGGGGATTTGGGGGTCCCTGGGGGAATTTGGGATGGATTTTGGGGGGTCCTAGGGTGGATTTGGGGGGTCCTGAGGGGGTCTCAGGTGCTTCTGAGGGGTCACCTGGGGGATTTTTGGGGGGGTTTTGGGGTCACCTGAGGGGTTTTGGGGTCACCCGGGGGGTTTGGGGAGGGTTTGAGGTCACCTGGGGGAATTTTTGGGGGGTTTTGGGGTCACCTGAGGGGTTTTGGGGTCACCCGGGGGGTTTGGGGAGGGTTTGAGGTCACCTGGGGGAATTTTTGGGGGGTTTTGGGGTCACCTGAGGGGTTTTGGGGTCACCCGGGGGGTTTGGGGAGGGTTTGAGGTCACCTGGGGGAATTTTTGGGGGGTTTTGGGGTCACCTGAGGGGTTTTGGGGTCACCCGGGGGGTTTGGGGAGGGTTTGAGGTCACCTGGGGGAATTTTTGGGGGGTTTTGGGGTCACCTGAGGGATTTTGGGGGTCACCTGGGGTTTTTGGGATTTTTTTGGGGGTTTTGGGGTTTTTTGGGGTCACCCGGGGGGTCCCGGCCGTACCTGTGCGGCGCCAGCCCCGGCGGGGTGGGGCACACCTGGCGCACAGGTAAAGGCCCAGCAGGGCCCCGCAGAGCCCCGCCCCCACCCCCAGCAGAGCCTCCAGCACCGAGCAGGAGCCGGGAACGGCTGGACAGGTGAGACACGGACAGGTGAGACACGGACAGGTGAGACAGGTGAGACACAGACAGGTGAGACACAGACAGGTGAGACAGGTGAGACACAGACAGGTGAGACACGGACAGGTGAGACAGGTGAGACACGGACAGGTGAGACAGGGACAGGTGAGACACGGACAGGTGAGACAGGTGAGACATGGACAGGTGAGACATGGACAGGTGAGACACGGACAGGTGAGACAGGTGAGACACGGACAGGTGAGACACGGACAGGTGAGACAGGTGAGAGATGGACAGGTGAGACATGGACAGGTGAGAGATGGACAGGTGAGACAGGTGAGACAGGTGAGAGGTGGACAGGTGACACAGGTGAAACACAGGTGAGAGATGGACAGGTGAGATCCAGCCAGGTGAGACAGGTGAGACAGGTGAGATGGACAGGTGAGACAGGTGAGATCCAGCCAGGTGAGGGACAGGTGGGGCAGGTGAGGGTAGCAGAGACAGCTGAGAAAGGTAAGGGTGAGGGACAGGTGAGATGGGCAGGTGGCACAGGTGAGGTACAGCCAGGTGAGGGGGGACAGGTGAGATAAGGACAGGTGACAGGACAGGTGAGGGTACAGGTGAGGACCAGGTGAGGAACAGGTGAGGACAGGTGAGACACAGGTGAGGTTCCACCTCTCCCACCTGGCACAGCAAACCCCACCCGCAGCCAGGTGAGCACAGCTGAGCCCCTCCCTCACCTGGCAGCTCCGCGCAGGCCACGGCGGCGGCCACACCTGTCGGGCAGGTACCTGCCTGCAGCCCCCGGCACTCGAGCAGCAGCTCCTCGCTCCCCCGGCAGGTGAACCCGGCCAGGTGAGGCTCCCCCCCCGGCAGGTGCGGCCCCACAGGTGCGCTGAGGGCGGGGCCGCAGCCCAGCTGCCGGCACAGCACCT